TGCAGTTGAGCAGACATTACATCTCCGGACTGGAATGCAGCCGGACACAGGGGCTAATGAGCTCTGAATAGAAAAAGATGTGCCTGCAAAGATAAATGAGCCATTGTTCTGCTCTGTTCTATTCTAGGCAAGGTTATTGTGCAGTTCCCGTTACCACAACGCCTTCCTGCTGTCCATAACTGCATTAAGCAGCATGATTAACATCTGTCAGTAACGACTGCAGCAGAGAAATCACACCAGGCAAACAGCACCAGCCCGTCCTGTGGTCAGGCTGCAGCATGAGTAGCCACCTGCACTTGCACAGCACTTGTTCTGCGTCTCCCTGAACAGGTAAATCTCTCGCCACACCTGCAGGATCTGATTCACAGGAGTTGCTGTGGCAGCTGTCAAACTCCCAAGAGTTTCTAAGAGAAATGTGAAGATAGCAGTTGTGGTCTGGTCCCATCTAACGCCATGCTGAGACACGAGTTCACTGCAGCTGAAAGGGGCCACATCCTCCACTCCCCACCAAACCACGCATGCTGAGTTTAAACCATGTGGCACCAGGATTTCCCAGACCATTTCTGACCACAGTGGAGCTCAGGTTTGGCACAGTCGGCACAAAGAGGGCAAATTTGAAATCCAAGTGCTACAACAACAGCAGCAACTACAGCCCAGCACGGCAAGGGAAGGGATTGTTGAGCAGGTATTGGGCAGATGGAGCAGCTGCTCAGGGAGAATCACTGATTTGTGCTATTCAGGGAAACTTCCCATTACAGTAATTCAGAGTTTTAAAAAAGCCACAACCAAGGAATCACAAAGTAGAAAAAAGAGCCTAAGTAGAGGAGGGAAGCAGGCCCAAGGCCTTTGCAAAGTACGGCTCTAGATCTTAAACAGCTCCTGAATTACAGAAACAAAAGGGGTTACACCTTCATTTCAGTGCGGTGTTAGTTTTGGAAAAGCACTGGAACTTGGATGTTGATGCTGATGCCAAGCCTTGGGTAAGACCTCTTTTGTATGGACCACACACTGAGCTGCTGTGCATTGCTCCTCTGAATAGTCAGGCTAGGTTAGAACTAGACAGCAGAAAATCTGTTCTAAGTGGGAATGGGGGCTTCTGTCCATGCTGATGGATTCCCAAGCATAGAGACCTACTTCTAAAAGCAGTCCTGTATGAAAGGACCTGGCTTATACAACCAGTTCTATGTTCAGATGAGGGTATTTCTGCTCCCAAGCCCCTTCTGCTCCAGGTTGCAGAGGGCCAGATGGGGAGGCTGAGTGCAGGGCCCATGGCTTACAAAGCTAGGGCTGGGAGCCGCTGATCTTTCCCACCACCTTTCCTTCCCCACTTGTCATCCTGGTGCTGGAAGTTTGAGCTGCAGGCTGGGCACACTTCAAGTCTCTGATGGCTGCACTAGGGCCAGGGACTGCTACTACCTATTGCTACCAGGTTCAGCATAGTCCATGCACAAATAGATGAGGAACCACATCCTCAGCTGCTGCTGGCATTCTTCCATTGCCTGCACCACCAGAGCTTCTCACATAGCCAGGGCTGGTCCATGCTGGGCTCTGCTGGGTCTGGAAGTAAGGAGAGCATGTTTCTCCCCTAGCCAGCATTTCCAAACCAGTCTCTGGTACGCGCTGCGGTGGCCAACACCTCTGAGATGAAGATCATCACGTCAGGCACTAGCTTGAGGCTGCTGGCTTTTCTGAGCCTTGGTTTTAATCCCTCTGTGCTGCAGCTTCCTCTCGGGTATGCCAGGAATAGAGGGTTGTGTCACAGGGATGAAGGTGGCTCACAGGGTCTCTGAATGAAGAAGGCAAATAATAACTAGTATTTTTGCTGCACTACTCCACCGAGATGAGGTGTCTCTAGTCATTCAGAAGTGCGAGCAGCACCGGGCTGCTGTTGCCTATGGGATGTGGCTTCCCAGTGTGAACTTGTGGCTTCGTCTCACCCTGCTATGGGGCTGACCCGTCTCCAGGGCAGCCCCCAGGGTAGAGGAAGCCCTGGCCGCGGGTGCCCGCTGTCCCGGAGCACCTCAGCCGCCGCCCACCCACTGTCCCAGCCCTCCCAGGCACAGGCGAGGGGCCCCTGACCAGCAATGTCCCCGCTCCTCCGGCTCCGCGCTGACAGAAACGCAAGCAACGGCCGGCCCCGGGGCCCTCTCCGGGCAGTGCCACCAGCGGCTGTCTGGGGATGCTTCCCCATCGCAGGGGCCGTTTCTGGACGGATAACGGGTTGTACGGCCCTTCCCGCTCCGCAGCGCTCCCCGTGCGGGGACGGACCGGCCGCAGGGCTCGCAGCCGGCTCCCCGCTGCGCTGCTGTCACGCTCCGCGCCCCCGGCTCCGCCACCCGCAGCGCTGCGCCTCGCCCGGCCGGGCCTCGCCGGGGCGAACGCGCCAGGCACGGGACCGGGGTCCCCGCCGCCGGGAGGCCGCGGCAGCCCCCGCCCGCAGCCCGGCCCGGCCCGGCCCTGCGCTGCGCTGCGCCCCTCCCCGGAGGCAGCCGCCCGCCGGGGCCGGCACTTACAGAGCGCTCCCTGCTGAGGCGTCCGGTGCCCCCGGAGCGCCGCCGGCGGTGGAGGGGCGGGGGGGGAGAGGGGGGCGGCGGGGCCCCGCAGCTGCTCACGCACCGCCGCACGCCCGGCGGCCCCGCCCCTCCGCTCGGCGCCCCAGGCCATTGGTTGGCGCCCGCAGGGCTCGTCTCGCGGTTGGTCCGTGCCCCTGTCAGTCACGCGCGCGGCGGCGGCGGGCCGGCGGTGAGGTGATGTGGTGGCGCGCGGGGAGCGGCGGGGTTGCCCTCACACCTCGTCCCCGAGCCCCGCTGTAGGGTGCGGGCTGGGAGGCGGCTGTTAGGGGCAGCCGGTGGCGGCTCCAGCCCCGCCGGTGGCGGCAGCCATGAGGTGAGGCGTCGCTGTTGCGGACGCGCTCGCCTGTGAGAGGCCCCGGGCCTGCCGCCTCCCAGGTAAAGGGACCCCGCTCCATGGCCGCGGTGCCAGGCGGGGTGCTTGGCCTCGGTCAGGGTATTGCGCGCGTAGGGAGGGCCGGGCCAGCTGGAAGCAAAGCTGCGTTCCGGTCCCGGCAGTGTTCTCTGGGGCTCATGTACCGCCCGAGAGCCGCTCGGTCACCAGAATGAGGTGTGGATGGGCAGCTCCCTGGCTGGCAAGTGGGGCGTCGTACCGCCACCCTGGTACGGGCCTAGGGGCCCGCCCGGCTGAGTACTGACCCCGTGGCACACAGGTACCAGCTTGTACTGGGCAGGCCCCAGTTCCTGCCCGAGCCTGTGAGCGGAACAAGGAGTGTGGGGCAGGGCCGAGCCTTTCAGCAGCCACCACTGTTTGTGTGGGACCAAACCACACAACTGTGGGGAAACATCTGTTCCCCGCCTGTGTGCAAACAGGTATTTGCACTGAGAAGTAGCGTGCAAGGAACCTCACATCAGTACCTGGTCTGCTTTGTTTTAGGAATGGTAGTAGTGGCAGCATTGTTCCAGCCATGGGAAATTAAAGATTTAGCTGCCTCCCTAACAATAACGGTTAATGTTTTATTCCTTCAGTGTTCCTCTTTTGGTAGTATCCCCAAAACAGGGCTTTGGAGTGTGGAGCTGCTTAGGTAAAGCCTGGTGGTCAGACTCCTTATGCATAACATAAAGACAAGTTTTCATAGGGGCTGCTTATCTCTGCTGGAGGATAATGAAGATGGTAAGGAGGGAATCCTCAGGCTCTTTAAGCACCCACCCCTTGTCAGGAGGTAGCAGATAAGCCAGTCTTGAGACCTTTGCTGCAGAGTGTGCCCTCTTCTGTCTCTCTGAGCTCCGGTTTGATTTTGCAAAGGAGGGCCTGACTTCTCCTCCAGTTTTGCTGTGCAGCAAGGGCAGGGTAGGCCCCACACTGCTGCCTGTGCAGGTGCTCCGTGCAGTGTGGTCCAGGGCTGCTGCAGCTGACCCAGCCTCCCAGATCTCTCTGTAGCGTCAGTCCTACAGGGCAGCACCCTGGCTGTTTAGTTGTTTGTCTGGTGGTTTTTTGGAGGACGGACTGTTGTGGCTTTTCTGAGAGGGTGACAGAAAGCAGCCATTAATAGAGGTATGGGAATGGATGCTCAGGGAAACCCACAGTGGCCCCACAGACTGTGAGTCAGAAGGGAGGGAGGCCCTCATTTCTGATGGATCGCAGCAGGAAGGCAGTTTTGTTTGTCTCACACAGTTCCAAGTGTGATATGCAGCAGCTGTTCTGTAAAACTTCATCTCCTTTGTCTCCTGCAGTTACCTTGTTTGTTTTCCTTCTGTCTGGCTATGCCTGTTCTGTTCTTTAAGAGACTGACTTCTTTCTGGCAGGGTTTGCCTTTACTGGCCTTTGTATCTTTCAAGTGTTTCCCTTCCCTCTAGTTGTACCTTGTGAGTTTTTCTTCCTTCTCTGCTCTTAGCAGCTCAGCCCTGGCGTTGTGGCCCCTTGTTTGCTCTCTGGGGATGGTGGCAGTGTGGAAGACCCTTGATTTGTGAAGTCAAGGTCTTCTGTGGGCACACCTGCTAACCCAGGACTTGTGGTTTATGAACAGAGAGAGGAATAAAAGAAAGAATCTAGGAGACACTTAAGGTGTTCCTGCAGGGAGCCAGGATGGTCCACTTGTGGGGTGAAGAGCCAAGGTCTGGATCTGGAGGTCGGTGAGTCTGTGGGTTTCTGGGACCAAGGACAGGCAGAGCACTGTGCCTGTATTTGATTTTGCAAAGAAGGTCCTGACTTCTGACAAGAAGGCACGCTTGCTTCTGCCCTTGTAGCTCTGGCCTGTGGAGGTGGGCAGCTTTGCAAAGGACTGGATTGCAGCAGCAGAGCTGGTTAGCTGTTACCTGAGTTTTCTGTTGGGGTAATCCTTTGTTATTCTTAGGGTATAATGGTTTTTTACCTGTGGGCTGGGATTACAGCAAGCAGTCTGCATTTTGTCAGAGTGGAGCAAGTGATTTGCTAGCCCAAGGGATTCAGGCTTTTCTCTTTTCTCATTTTCTAGACCAGAAGTGCTGCAAACCAATTTGCAAACCAACCATTTTTGTGCTGCTGTGAAGAGATCCACTGACTGTGCTCAGCTGGTGCTTAGCCACAGTGGCTTGTGGTAGCCCTAAGTGTCCTGTGAGCCTCAGCACTGACCGGATCAGCTGGTGGCAGGAACTGATTTTGCAACAATGAGGTGCCTCACGCACACACTGCTTAGGAGGTTGTCGTGTCTCTCACCTCAGTGCGTGCCAGGGAGATGGAGTCAAATCCTCAGTCCGAAGCAGTCGTCTCTGAGGCAGAGCTGCAGCACAAGGCCTGGAGTCGTGACTGCCACTGATGTGGTCAACTACTGGCAGAAGGTGTTTGAGACAAATGGGATCCCTGAAGCACAAGAATCCAGTGAATATATTGTGTCATTTGTTCTAGGAGCAAAAACAGTTAAGTAATAGGAAAAGTATATGGTCTCTGTGTGCCTCTCACTTCATCATTTTGGTTGAATCCCTTACCTTTCTTTTTATCTCTTACAGGAAGTAGAACAACTTTTCCTTCCTTAGGCTGCACAGAGGCTGAGGCATAGTTTATTTATGCCAATAGAACACTTGGGTTCTCTTGAATACCCTCTTTTGCAGAGATGGAATGTAACCCATGGCATACACACCCACTGTACCCTGACTTGCTTGGTGGAATGTTCCTTAATTTTACTTATTCTTCTGAGCCACAAAACTAGCGGAAGAACAGTTGTACAGGTTTGGTTTAAAACATGCAGATAGGTTTGCCTGTTCTGTTTGTTGTTTCTAACAGCCCCTGGCATATGTATTTGTCAGAATACTGGGTCTCCCTCAAAGATGCTTTTGGGGTGGTGCAGAGGATGCCCTAGTGGCACAAGTGGGCAGGTTTTAATGTGACCTTGTCTTCAGTTTCAGAGCTTGAGTTCCAAAAGCCTCCGCACTCCGCTTACAGCAGCACAGCAGGAGCAAATCCAGCAGCTGAGCAACAAGCGACTAGAAAGGTAAGAGCATCCTCTTACAGTCATTCCTTTGGAGGATTTTCCTTTAGCCTTAATAAACCAGAAGAATGGCAGCAGAGAGAAGACAGAAGACCATTAGCAGCTGACATGTCAAGTAACAGTGCTGTGTTTGTCTCTCGTGGTGACTCAAGTGATGGGCATTTTCTGTTGTCTGGTAGCAAATTACCTGTCTGTCCTGTCTGGAAGCAAAGAGGATCTAAGGGATGTTGCAATACTGACTTTGAGTTGGGTACATTTTCATTAAGCCCTTCTGTGCTTACAGAATTGAGCCCTGGCCCTTCCTGTCTTCAGCTGCCAGTCCTGTACTGGTCTGTCAGGTTGCTGTGCTTTCCTTCCTAGGCTTTGAAGAGGGATTTCCTTGGTTTTTAGAGGTTGCTATAGCTTTGGGCTTCATTTGGGCTCCATTTTCTTGCTCTGTGAAGGAAAGGTACTCTTAATACAAAAATTAAATGGGTTTGCTGTGAAAGAGCTACCTGGAATCTTGCTTGCAGGTTGCTGTGTCTTAAGCGCTATTAAGACTGCAAAAAACATCTACTGTTCTACATGGAGAACTGAGGTATGGTACCTCACAGCTGCTAAGACATGGAATCATGGAGGTTGAGAGGGACCTCTGGAAGTCTAGTCCATCCCCCCCTGCTTAAAGGATCAACTAGAGCAAGTTGCTCAGAGCCATGTCCAGTTTGGCTTTTAGTATAACTAAAGATAGATGTTATATAGCATCTCTGGATAGCCTGTTCCTGTGTTTGACCACCCTCACAATGTAAAAAAAGAAAAAGGGGGAGTGGTTCTTAGATTTAGATGTCTTCTATTCAGTCTGTGCCCTTTGCTTGTCTTTTCACTGGATACCACTGAAGAATCAGGCTCCGTTTTCTTCACTTCATCTCACCAGATACATATAGTTATTAATGAGGTTTCCTTCCCCTGCTCATCCAGCCCAAGCCTTCTCTTCTCAGGGTTTAACTGTCCCAGCTCTGAGTCTCTTCTTGTATGTCAGATGCTCCAGTCCCTTAATGTCAGCCTTACTCCAGTATGTCCATGTCTCTCCTGTACTATAGGACTTTACATTACTACCTGCTGAATTTCATGAGGTTCCTGTCAGCCTGTTTCTCCAGCTTCCTTAGGTCCTTCAGAAAAGTAGCACATGCATCTGGCCTGTTGACCACTCCTCCCAATTCGCTGTCCCCTGCAGACATGTGCTCTCTGTCCCTTTATATAGGTCATGAGTAAAGATGTTATGCTATATTGGCCCCACTCTCTCGACACCACGAGGTACGCCACTAGTGATCTGCCTTCAGCTGGACTTCATGCTGCTGAACACAGCCCTCCAAGCCTGCCAGTACAGTCAGTTTTCAGCCCACCTCATTTACCTAGTCCATACTTCATCAGCTTGTATGTGAGGATGTTATGGGAGACACTCTTTCACAGACACCCCCTTGTTGTGGGGAAAGAGCTTGTGTGCCCTTGTGAGGTTGGGAGCTATGCTGGTGGTAGCATACGCCGCTGGTAGGGTCTCCCATACCAGACAGGTCTCAACTGAAGGGTCAGACAAAGTGTGTCCTTGGGCAGGATGGGCTCACTAGCCTTTGGGCAGCCATCCTAGGAGAAGGACAACTCTTAACTTCAAACCCAGGCAGATGGAGCTCATTTACCTCTATAAGGCCATCCTTCTAAGAGAAGGATTCTCTAATCAAACCTATGACCTGAGGACTTTGCTGTCATCGTCCAAGCTCGCTGGGCCCTGGCAGATAAACCTCAAGGGTGGGGCCAGTTCCACGCACGCTGTGCCTCACCTAAAACATCCACTGCACAGGCCCGAGGGGTTTACCCACACTTGCAAAGCCCTGTAGCGACAGGCAAGGGGCGAAACAGTGGGTGATAAGGGTCACTGGAAGTCGCAGACCCAACCCAGCATGCAGGCAGGGTCGCTCCATAACGCCATTGCCTCCTTTGAGAACTCATACAGAATTAGTCTCGAGGAGAAAAGGCAATGTAGAAAGAATCACGCCCTGCCTATACCCCCCAAGGAGACCTCTCACTGTGCTTTTTGCAACCGGATTTGCCTATCTCACACTGGCCTTTTTAGTCATCGGCACACTTGTAGTAAGCGTGGGTAAAGCCCTTCCCAAATCTTTGTTCGTGAAGTCAAGCCATGATGATGATGGAGACAGTATCAAAATCCTTAAGAAAGTCAAGATAAACAGTTTTGGTTATTCTTTCCTCATGCACCAAGCTAGTCACTGTGTCATGGGTGGCTGTCGGGTAGTGAGGAATGATTTCCCCTTTGCTGGCTATTTCCTGTCACCTTCCTGTACTTGGTATGTTTAGAAACAATCTCTAGAGCAAGTTCCATCACTTGCCCCAGTATCAAGGTGAGGCTGACTGGCCTGTAGTTCCCCAGCTCCAGTGCATGATGGCAAACTCTTTTGTGGGAATGGAACTCTCTTAGAGTGCACATGCACATTGCACACACAGTTGAGAGCCTTAGGGGAGTCTAGGTGCTCCCTCTCAGAAGGGTGATGTGTTAGTAATGAGGTTAGCATGGTATTGGGAGCTTTTCTTGTGTAACAAGGTGTAGTCCTGAAGTGTTCACACTTGCTTTTGCTTGCCACAGAATGCCGGTGCAGTATGTACTTGGTGAGTGGGACTTTCGGGACCTGACTCTGAAGATGAGACCCCCAGTATTTATTCCTCGGCCTGAAACAGAGGTATGAACATGGGGAACATAGTGGGGATGGGGTGGGCTGGAATCGCTGAATGACATACAGTACAATCATAGCATTGCTGTGAAGGCAGCCTGTATATCATGAGGTTGTAGTGATGAGGAGGTCAGATCACTTCTTTTAGAATAGAGGGGAATTCTTAGCTTGTGATCTGGAACTGATGGACTTTGCTTCCTAGCTCGGAACAAGAGACATTGCAAGCTCATGTATCACTTAGTTGCACAGAGAGCCATCTCCATTGATGGCTTTCTTCCCGTGACTTGGCTTTCTTCCCGTGACTTGGCTTTCTTTCCTTGACTTGGCTTTCTTTCCTTCTTTCTGCTGTGATAATGACTCCTGGAAGTTCAAAACCTATGCCTCTATATCCTCAGTGGCCTAGTACTTTGGTACAAGGATAAGAATCTCAAAGGTGTCCAAAGGTTGTTAACAAAATCCTGCAGTAGTGAGAAGCTGCTACTGGAAAATGATAACGGACTCCAGAGAGCTTGCTTGTACATGTGGAGACTAAAACAGTGCAAGCTGGTAGGACATGGCAGCTATCACCTGTCTGATGGCTCCACTCATTCAGACAGAATGTCCCTTACTGACAGTGTCAGAAGAGGTGTCAAGGTCTGAGTGGGCTTTGAGATGGGAAGACTGCCTTTGCTTTTTCTGGGGATGAGAGAGTATTGGGAATGTGTGGAGAAGAAAGCTGTGGCTCACTGGAGAGGATGCAGTCTGCAGAATACTTCATCTGACACCTTTTATTACACAAAAGTCAAAAGGCAAAGACAGCCTGTGCTTCCGTTATGCCCTCTGAAGAAGAGGGTGCTACTAAAATCCATTAGAGAGTTCTGGACAATTTAATGGGAATCAATGCTTAGACATCCTCTCATCTCAGCCTGTACAAGAATACTCAGAAGCAGAGCCTTGGTTTAGTGCAGGGTGTCAGCAGCACCTCACTGGGAGCCGGCAGGGCCCTATGTCATAGTGGTTACACTCGTGTCCAGAGAAGGTGTGAGCTCTCTGTGTCTGGCTGTGATCACACCATGGTGATTAAGTTTGGAGATAAGGCTCTAAGGAATAGTTTTGCCAGTTGGAGCCCAGCAGCCCAGCCATGGTTAGCTTTGTTACTGCCAATGGTATTTCTGCTTGGGGTGATTCAAGAGAGTATTTCCAGCCTTTAACTCCCCATTAATTCATGGGTACAACATGAGCCTTAGAACGAGGAAGAACTTGTGTGCTCTGCAAGTCAGAACATCTATTGGCAAGGCTTCCCCTGGTGCTGTGCTCTCATTCTCTCCACGCAGTGCCAGGCTTCAAACAAAGGCATGTGGAGTGGAAGCTGGGGTGGCTAATGCTTGAGAATGTTGTTAATTGTGCCCATAAGCATGATTTTAGTAAAAGCATCTCCACTGGCCCATGCTGAAATGCAGTGCAGTATAACATGCTGTGTTTGAAACTATGTAACATAGCCTGGTGCAAAAATGTAGCATAAAGGAGCTTGACCTAAACCTTGTCTCTCTGGGAAAACTTGATTTGATGTGGCAGGGTACTTACTATGAGGGCACATTTTAGCACATTTATTATTGAAGGCCGGGAGTTTATGAGGATGGCTCAGGAATGGAGCTCTCTTGGTTGGTAACTGAGAGTTTTCTTGTGATGTGGTGCTGGGGTCGTTGCTTGGACAGGAAGAGCACAGGGACAACATCCAGCTATTTAGCAGCACCTGGCAGGACATTGTTTTAGGCATGTGCTGCTTCCAGGGACCCTGTACCGTGTGTAACCTGGAGCACAGAGTGAGTTGGTGTCAAGATCCTTTCATTCTGCTAGCAAGAAATGGTGGATCATCACTGCCTAGAAGCTGTGTGTGGTGTGTTTGGGTTGGGGTTGCCCATGTTTTGTTTCATCAGAGTAATTTTTCCAGGCTTCACTGGACTTTAAAACTGCAGTGGAAGTAGCTCCTATCAAAAATATTGAAGTTAGTTGCATCTGTTGCTCTCTTCTTATTTAGGATTTGTCTGCAGTATTCTTAAAACCAATAGTGCTGGAACTTTTCCCAAATAATGTCTGTAAATAATCCTTGCTCTTTAGGAAACACTTCATTATCAACACTGATAGCCCAGGTTCAAGTTGCTTATCTGCGACTGCACACACAAGCCACATGGCTTGGCTTGTCCTTGGCTGAGTAAATGTGACTCCCTAAACTGACTTGTTAGTGCAGATACACAAGCAGCTGCAAAATTTGTTTCCTACTTTTATGTAGCTTCTGCAAATGCTGCTGCTTGTTGATTCTGAGCCTGAAAAGAAGAGGAGCTGCTTTTATGCTGCACATTTTATTCTGTTTACAACAGAAGGTTTATGACTTGCTCCCAGACGCGTTGGTAATGGCATGAAGTTAAACACAGTATGACATAAACCACCAGCATTGTTTCAGTCCTGGGGACAGAGACACACATGCAAAGAGAAGCTCAGTTGTCTGCTTAATTTTGCTCTGTGTGAAATCTGCCCCTTTAGAGTCTATTAAGTTCTCTCTGGTAACTGAGGCCTTTCCCATTTGCTTCCTCTGGGAAAATCATTTCAGCACATGTGGCTTCGATCTTCTTCTCTGTGGGAATCCAGGTGGGGAGGGACAGGCAGCCCAAATGAGGAAACTTGCAACTCGGAGCAACTCTTGAAGCTCTGAGTGGGATAACTCATAACTTCTTGGGGTGCAGGGCTGATAGATACTCCTGTGAGCACAGCCATGCTGTGCTGAGGCAGAGTTTTGGTAAGCAGCCCTCAGTCTCACCTTCCCCCAGTTACCCAGCCTGCTGTGAGCAAAGCTTTGGACTCACTGCTGCAAGTGCTCTGTGGGTTTGTGAGGGCTTGTGGAGCTCAGTGTCATGCCTGCTTTCCTCCTGTGCCCATCAGAGCCAGGCTTGTGCAGTGGAGAGGTGTTTAGGAGTGTGATCAGCCTCATGAATTATCTTTGTTATGTGATTTTTATTGTAATGTCAAGGAATCCCTGTCTCAGCATTGCTCAGTCACTGTATTAATGGAGAAGAAAGTCCTTTTCCCAAAGCAGGGTTTTCTAAACCTCAGGCATCAGCCTTGTGGATCAGAGGGGAAAACAGGACAAAGAGGAAAACTCAGCCAGCCGTGGATACATAATTCCTTTTTTGTCGAGGCAAATAGAAGCTAAATGAAGCCTCGTAATTACTTCATTAAGGAAAGGTTTGGGTTGGTCCAGGACTCCTCTGAGGTAGTTTGAGGTATCACCGGTCTGTTACCGCTAGAGGGCACTATAGGCTTAGGCTCCCGGGGTTCCTGCTAGCTCTATTTCCTATTAAAAATGGTAGCATTTCTGGTGTTCCGGATCCCCTCCTCTCTCAGATGCCGTGTTTTAAAGCAAATGAAGGCTTAATTTATTTCATTGGAAACAAATGGTCATTTTTTTAATCCCTTGCAGTTACTGTGTGGGTAGAGTCAGGTTCTTGGGCATTGAGGTTTTGTTTTTGCTGGAGAGAAGCTGCTAGGAGGAGAGCTCCAGTTCTGCTTGGGAGGATTATCACAGTAGCACCATCCCCTCTGACCCTCAGGCCAGCCAGGAGTCCCCTGGTTACAACTCCTTGAGCTGTTGTGATCTCAACACCTATGTGATTTTTCTGTCTTGGCTTTGTCGTGGTGGCTGTGCCATGTGAACAGTGTGCTGTCCTGGGAGGGGGGACGCTGTGAGAATGAATGTTTAGCCTGGGAGACATCTTAGGAAAAGAAATTGCAAGTCTGTGTCACTCTGAACAGTTTTAGTAGTCATGCAGAACAGATCGTGGCTGCAAACTTCTGTGAGAGCATGAGAAGAGACCTAGTGTGTCAGGGATCTAGTTCAGTCTAGTTCAGTGTGCTGGGTGTGACTGGGGCTTGTAGCAGGTGGAGCAAAATTACAAGGGAAAAGATAGGCATGGAAGGACCCCCCATCTTTTGACAGTCAGTAGTTAAGGGCTGGTTTTAGCCAAAGCTGGATTTGGGTCTGTTGTGCTTCATAATCACTAATGAATCTGACCTCCATTCATTTGCTTAATCCTCTTTTGTGTCATCTGTGTGTGATGATGCCTCCACAACACCATCTGACAGTGAAGCTTTCTAATTTTGTGTTGTAAGTGAGAAGAGTATTTTCTTTGTTTCTGGTGCTGCCTGCTCACTGAACAGGAAAGCCCTTACTGCATAACACGTAAACTGTTGATGCTCTCTGTAGCATTTGTAACTTGTAGACCTGTTGCTGTCTAATTCTTTTTCCACTTATGATTTTCGAGCTTTTATCTTCTTTCCCAAGATGGATTGTTTCTTTCCCATGATAAGAATGCTCAATAAACCATTGCTGTGCGCTTGCATCTGTCAGCTGAAGGGCAGTCATTGTGCTGGGGTGTTCTAGGAAAGCACTTTAGTCAAAGATTTGCTCGGAGAAAGCTTTCATGAAGTTTAACCTTACTTCTAGCTAAACATAATCGTTAACCTTTGAGGGAGGTCAAGCACTCAGAGAAGGGAGGCTTTTGGCTTCCTGACATGTATATTCAAATCTACAGAGTGTAAGGTGGGGCCATTTTCAAGTGGTTTATGTCAAAAAAAGTATACACATTTCCTCTTTTAATTGGTGCTGAAAGGAAGGGTTTGATGCAGAATGGGCTTTCATTTCCCTCAGTTCAGTGCCACAGATGGTTACTTTCTGGAAGGGGAGAAGGTCACAGCATCCAGTGAGTACAGAGACAGGAGATGGGCCTTTCTTTCATGATTTTGCCTCTGACCAGTTGTCCTCAGGAGGAGCTGCTACTTTCTGAGTCACTGGCTTTGTGAAATAAAAAGGATAATGGTGTCCTATCTTGTATGTAGCATAAGGTCCTTTCTCGAAATATATGTAAACTCCTATAAAGTACATTGAACACAAATGCAATAGGGCGTTATTTAATAGGTCAGAAATGAACTGCTACTTGCAAAATGTAGCTGTGAACAAATGCGCTGAAGTTGGAAGC